TCTATTAGCTTTCCAAATTTTAGGTTTCTTGTTTTCTTTCCTCCCTGTCCTATGTTTCTATGTCCCTTTGTCCCTTTACTGTAGCTTTGTTGGGGTTTAGGGAGAAAGCAAAATTAGATGGGAAGCTCTAAATTAGATAGGATCTGCTATCCTAACTGAGTCTTAATTCTTTTTCTTGTCTCATGACTCATGTTCCTGAGATAAATTTTATTGATAAGTTGAGGCCATTATTCCACCCCCTTGCCATAGGGCCTTGGAAGATGTTGATATTGCTAAATATTTGCATGTTCTGGACTGCAAAGAACTTAAGAATTCTGTGATTTGCAGGCATCTGAATGAGAAAGTGTCTTCCTTTTTCTTCTCTACCATGTTCCTTTAAGAAAATGTGGATAGCTTAGTTCTCTACAAAGCACTCTTAATTTCCAGCTCAAGAAAGGGAATATCTGGTCAGAAATAAAACTCTTTCAGTTTTAATCTAACCCTAATTCTCTCCATGCTTCTTTGTAATGTTTGTTTTTGTTTTTATTTTTTATTTTTTCCTGCTCATGTTGTCCCTGTTTTTTGTTTTTTGTTTTTTTGTTTGTTTGTTTTTTTTGTTTTTTTTGAGATAGGGTCTAGCTCTGTTTCCCAGGCACAATCAATCATGGCTCACTGCAACCTCAGCCTCCTGGACTCAAGCAATTCTTCTTTGGCCTCAGCCTCCTGAGTAGCTGGGACCACAAGTGCATGCTACCATGCCTGGCTAATTTTTAAATTTTTTTGTAGAGATGAGGGTCTCACTGTGTTTCCCAGGCTGGTATTGAACTCCTGAGCTCAAGCAACCCTCTCGCTTCAGCCTCCCAAAATGCTGGGATTATAGGTGTGAGCCACCATTCCTGGCCTATGTTTTATTTTTGATGTGTTAAACAAAGCTTTATCACTCCCAGATTACTTTCTGTTACTCATTTTTAATGTTTTCAAAGTTTACAAACCAATGTTTGAAAATAATAGCCACTATGATCGTTTACCAAGTATGATTCCAGGTAGACAGGAAAAGAAATCGCTGAGGTGATACTCATTGTTTTAGAACATCTTCTACCAAAGGGGTCCTTTTTTATTTTTTAAAAGGCACTCATTTGTTCTGATTTTTAAAACAGTAATGCATAATTCTCATTAAAAGTTTGGAAATACAGAAAACTAAAAGTAATATTCATCTTTATTCATACCCAAAGTAATTCCTCTTGTGTGCCCTTCCAGTCTTTATTAGTAAATATATGAATAAAAATGTTTCGTTAATATTTTTCCATGTTATTCTCCCACAAATTCCTTTAAATTAATATAAAAATGGTTCAGCAATTTTTGGCAACCTATTTCTGTCAGAGGCCAAGTAGTATCATTTTTGGCTTTGCAGGTCATATGGCCTTCATTAAAAGTATTAAAATCTGCTCTTGGAGCCAGAAAGCAGCAATAAATACTACGTATACAAATGAGCATGGCTGTGTTCCCATAAAACTTTATTTACGAAAAAAAAAAAGGCTCAGATTTGGTCCACTGGCTACATTTTGCTGACCCCTAGATATTATTTTTAAACTTTTAATTTTGACATAATTATAGTTTTACAAAATGTTGCAAAACAGCACAGAGAGATAGTTGCTGGATGCCATTTACCCAGTTTTCCCCAAGTTACATCTTAAATAACTATAGTACAATATCAAAACCAGGAAACTGACATTAGTACAAGGTGTGTTCACAGTCTGCACAATTTGATAACATGCAAAACCACCTCACAATGAAGATACAGAACTATTCCATTATACAGAGATCTCCCTCATTCTAACCTCATAGAGTCACAATCACCTTCCACCTCACTCCCAATCATCTTTATCCTTTTAAAGTCTCTAATCTGTGTCCTATTTCTCTAATTTTGTCATTTTTTAATAAGTTATGCAGGTGAAATCACACAGCATGTGACCTTTGAAGATGGGCTCGTTTCACCTAATATTGAAATCCGTCCAGGTTGTTGCATGTATCAGTGGTGTTCTTTTTCAGCTGGGCACGGTGGCTTACACCTGCAATCCCAATACTTTGGGAGGCCAAGATGGGAGGACTGCTGAAACCCAAGAGTTCGAGACCAGTCTGAGCAATATAGTGAGACCCCATCTCTACAAAAAATAAAAAAAGCTAGCTGGGTGTGGTGGCACATGCCTGTTGTCCCAGTCACTCAAGAAGCTGAGGTGAGAGGATTGCTTGAGTCCAGAAGGTAGAGGCTGTAATTGGCCGTGATTGTCCCACTGTACCCTAGCCTGGGCAAAAGACCGAAGTCCTGTCTCAAAAAAAAACAAAAACAAAAACACAAACGCATTTTTATTGCTGAGCAGTATTCCAGGCTCACCATTCACCTATTGAAAGGCATTTTGGGAGCTTCAAAAGGTTCTTTTAATGTTCTAGCAATCACCTATTCCATGTGATTCAATATACAAAACAAACACTGCAGACCTCATTGATCTCCATGTTTGATTCAGCTGGCTAGCTAGGTGTTCCCTTCCTTCCTTATACTCAAGCTTCTGAGTTGAATGTGGTTCAGAATGTGGTGGTCCATCTGTATCCAAGTATTGAATTGAATCATATCATTTGTATCTGTCAATATTTTAAACTCATTGAACTCACTGATTTCAACCAAAGGTCATTAATCCTCTAGGGACTTCTAGTTGCTTTGCAGGTGAGTACTAACATCTCTCTAGTTGTAGTGATGGTTGAATTAATAGTCTTAATACTTGGAAAGAGACTCAAATTCAAGTCCCAGTATTGCCACTTACTACCTACAGTCGTAGAGAAGTTACCTACTTGAGCCTCCGTTTGCTCATTTGTAAAATAAAAATAGTACTAACCCTGTCTCATAGGGTCACTGTGAGGATCACATGAGATAACATAGTAAAGCACCACACAAATGTTACTGTAATATTCATAAAAATAGATTATCCTTCACTAGTGTTTTAGAAAGAGCAGCAGTAGTTTTATAATCAAGATGAGTAGTTTCAGGTTGTGGTACCCTTGCTTAAAAATATGTACACATATTTTATATACATTTATATATATTTAGATGAAGTTTTACGAACTGCACCAAAAGAACAGGGAGGGCAAGAGGTATTTCTGTGTGCTGCGATGGATGACCTGTGTTGAAAATACAATACCAATTAGCAGATGTGAGAAGAAATCATTTAAATCAACAATGTCTGTAGCAGGCTACCCATCTGCTTCCTGTTAACTAGGGCTTCCTTTTTCAAACTGTCTTCCTTGGTTTCCATGACCCTGTTCTCTCCTGTTTCTCCTCCTGGCTTATCATCATCATTTTCTTGGCCCTAAATATAAGTTTCCCTAAGGATCATCTCTGCACTTCTCTTTCCATGACTTCTTCCCTGGCAATATCATGCCTTTACTTCATTTCTCAAAGCCTACATCTGTGTCTCTAACCCTGACCTCCCTCATTTCCATCCTGCTGGCTGGACAACTCTATTTCAACTCAGTGTTTCCAAAGCTGAGGTCATTTTTCTTCCTAAGATGGCCCTTCTTTTCAAGTTTCCTGTTTCTATCCCACACCCCAGCATCTTCTCAGTCCTTCTGCCTCTAAACGTAGAACAATCCTCAAGCATTCTTCTCTCTTTGCCACCTCCTACCCCCCACAAATCTAATTATGCTGTTGACTCTTTGATACAGAATCATTCATCTCCTCTTTCTTTTCCATTTCAGGCCTCCACCTTCAGCTTTTTTGTGTGTATGTGGGGGAGACAGGGTCTTGCTCTGTCTCCTAGGCTGGAGTGCAGTGTTATGATCATGGCTCACTGCAACCTCTGCCTCCTGGGCTCAAGTGATCCTCACCTCAGCCTCCTGAGTAACTGGGACCACAGGTGTAAGCCACCAAGCCCCACTAATTTTTTATTTTGTGTAGAGACACAATCTCCCTATGTTGCCCAAGTTGGTCTCAAATCCCTAGGCTCAAGCAATCCTCCTGCTTCAGCCTCCCATAGTGTTGGGATTACAGGTGTGAGCCACCACACCTGACCCACCTGCAGCTTTTTCCCTAAACTCCGCTTTTCTCCCACTATACTCGCAATCCATTTGCCCTTCCTTGCCTTTCTCACATCAGTCTTCCACAGTTCTATTCTTCCAACTTAATGTCCCTTGTTACTTTCCTTGTATGTAGAGTAAAGCCCAGATGATTGGTCTAATATAAAGTCTATGCTCAGACCTCAAACTGCTGTTTTTATTAACCTAAGATATCATAGCTTTGATCAAAGTGCTTTTTAAATCTTTACAAATTTGACGCCTGATGAACCAAAAGGAAGTAATACAAAAAACGCTTTTTCAGAATTTCATAATATTTTGTTTTTCTCATGATACTTTTCTAATGTCATTCATTTATCTGCATACTTTTTTCTACACTGGTCCCATGTATGATTTCTCCCAATATTTCCACAGAATTGCATATAGCCAATATCTATTTATCGAACGAATGACTGTTTCTATGTTACAAATTCAATTCTTGCTTGGCCCATGCATTCAATCAATAATTATTGAGTACCTTACTATGGGTCAAGTACTTGGAGGCATTGGGCATAAAATAGGCACATTCTCAGCCTTCATAGAACTTGCCTTCTAGTAGGAATCCCAAGGATGTTACCACTGGATTATTTATGACTGACCTTATACTAAGGTATTTTTTGCTTATGTCTCAAGCAAAGTTATCAAGCACTTCATTTAAGAATATATTAAATATTAAATCAAATAATTATACTCTGGTTGCCTGAAGATATGGAATTTACTTGTTTAGTGATATGAGTTTATATCAGGAAAGGAAAACACAGGTGAGTTTACACAGGGTCTTCACAAGGGGAAGAAGCGGTTGGTGGGGAGGGAAAAGAGAGTGAGCATATCAAGCTATTGAGGTCACCTCCAGTCAGTCATTTCTTCTTGGCCAGGCAATTCCATGAAACTAACATAATGTGCTCTTGAATTTTACACAGATGGCAATCAGGAGTTATTTCCCTGTGAAGTCTGTGGAAGACGCTTTGCAGCAGATGTTCTGGTAAACATAAAGACGTTTTGTAGATGTGTTTCATTGGACTTAAATGAACTGTCAAGTCAATGAGGAGGCGGCAGTGCAAAGATTAAAGACAGATGTGGAGGGGAAGCAAGGGAAGAGGAGAAGTACATAACCTATGGCTGGTGGGCCCAGAGAACACTGAGGCAGATTGATGCTGCCTCACTCAAAAGCGACCCTGTTGAACATGGTCCTCCTGAAATGATGCCAGATGGAAGTCTCTTGGCATCGTCAATGATCCCTCAAGAGGTTTTGGCTCTTCCGCCTTTTCTTTAAGCATCAAAAATTCAAATTTCAAGGCCAAAGCACCAGGGAAATTAGCTAGTCAAGAGGAATGAGCATTGAATTTTAGACATCTGGAAACTTGGCTTTTAGCCGCAAATTTGTCACTAATCCTGACAAGTCCTTTAACCTTCCTGTTTTCTGCTTTGCCACGTATACAGAACCTTCCAATTTCAGGGTTTTTATACCATTTGAACAAAATGATACATGGATGTAAGGCCTGTTCCCAGATCTAATTGTTGTCCAGATTCAAGCTAATGACATGTCAAGTCCCCTGATTGATGACTATAAAGTTGAATAAAAGCTTGATTTATTTCAAAATTAGGGAATCAAATAGATGACATGCCCCAATATTATAAAGGGGTTCCCAAGAAAGATCATTTTTTTCAAAAAGAAAATCTAAGATGATAATACAGCTGTAAGTTGGGACATTTTAGATAAAGGAGACTTATCTGGAACTTAAAGGATGTGAACTGTAAGCCTGACTATGTTTGGGACAAAAGACTATAAAATGAGGTTGTAGGTTTTATTTTTCTGAGGAATTTAAAAAACGAAACAGCTGTCTTTTAGTTAACTGTGGTTAGAGCTTCCTGAAACTAGAGGGAGAGCTTGCGGAGCTGGTTGTGGCCCTGTAGCCCACCAGTGTGTGTCACTGCCTTTGCCAGCCTGGAGCTGCACCCCCAGCCGAGAATCAGTTTGAGACCTGGGAGGTTCCATTTGCAGAGGGAACTCTAAATGTCAAGTACATCTTGGATACTTTTGAGTTTCATTTCCTAAGCCTATTTCTAAGCTATGGAGGGCATTGATCAAATGATTTGATCTTTCTCTCTCCTTTAGCTTAAAATGCATGGCTTGTTCTTAGCCAGTGCAGTGATTTTTATAGAGCTTGTATTTTGTGGGGTCTTACAAAGCCACTGTGTCAATGACAACTATTACGTTTCACACATCCACCAAGGGAGAGGGCAAAGGTCCCATAGTGGTACAGTAGCATACTTTATACAGATGGTACACAGGCAAAGCTCTGCGTGTTAGCTTCTCAGTTTTTGTATCAGAAATGTTGAATACTTGAAGGATTACTGGTTGGAGTAAAAAGTATACTGCCCACATTTGAGTTAAACATATGAACCCAAATTTGAAGTAAGTCTTTTAGCTATAAAGGCATTTTATTGTCTTTGCTCAAACACAGTATCTAGTTATATGTAACGTGGATGAGAAGAGTCAGATGGATTCGCTCTGCTGTGACCTGTTAGAGAATGAACTAGGCTCTGAGGAGCAAACATCGTCCCTGGAGTAGGGGCTGTCTAGGAATGCCTAGGCATTAAAAACTGATTGTGCACTTTAGAAATTCCAATCCCTACCCTTCATTTTCTAGGAAAGGCATGGACCAATATGTAAAAAACTCTTCAACAGAAAGCGTAAACCTTTCAATTCTTTGAAGCAAAGATTACAGGGCACCGACATTCCTAATGTGAAGAAGACTCCACAATCCAAGGTACTCCTGATATCTTCTTTATTGTTTGTTATTACATTCTGTGGGACTCTAAGGCCTATTTCTGGGACTTCTGGTTTCATTTTTGCTTGATAATGCAGTAATGTAACTGTAACCCACCTTTACTGTTTTCTTTATAATCTTGCTCACTTAGATTTCCAAATATACTTCAGATATTTTCCAGATGTAGCAAAAAATAATCTTGTTTATGTTTTCGTTAGAGTGGCTTTAAATCTAGCAATTAACTTGAGAAGAAAGTCACTTTTAATGTTATATTTGTCTTTCTTTAAAGTTTTATAGTTTCTTTATTTTTCTGAATTTTCTTTTGTGTTTTCCCTCATTATTATGGCCTGCAAATTATATTACTGTATTTTCCAAACCACTTTAAGGAGTACTTTTGAAAAAGAAACTCTCCTTTTCTCCAATTTTCACAGTTCTGTTTCCTGTGAATTCAAATTCCAGCTTTAAACAAAATTGTAATGGAGAGGTATATAGTCTAGGGTATTATTTGTTGGTTTTATTTTTTACAGTCTCCACCTGTGAGGAAGTCTAACTGGAGACAACAACATGAAGACTTTATTAACACAATCCGATCAGCAAAGCAGTGTACGCTAGCCATTAAAGAAGGCCGACCCCTCCCACCTCCACCCCCTCCAACCTTGAACCCAGGTGTGTGGACATTTTGGGTTGCTTTTGAGGCTATGCTTGACTTTTGACCAAATCATCATGCCCTTTATGCACTCTGAAATTGACAATAACAATTACATAGAAGTAATTTTATTAATTATATAAAAGTAAACATCCTATTTTTTTCAGTTCTGCATAAAGATTTTGTCTCAACATGGGAACACCAGTGTAGCTGTGCTGTAGTATTACATAACTCCAAGGGACACCAGACACCTCTTAGCTGATAGGCATGGAGCTATGCAGAGCAAGCTAACCAACTCTGCAACAGCTCCGTCGTGTCAGATACCCACAGTTCTTTTTCTTTTCCCGGGTAAAATTCCCAAAACATGAAATTTAGCATTTTAACCATTTGAAGCTGTACAATTTAGTGGTTCACAGCTTTTTTTTTTTTTTACTGGAAACATTTTATTTGAAAATTTAAAAATCTGTAGAAAAGAGGAAGGAATAGTACACATGCCCTCCACTGAAACTTGGCAATTGTTGACGTTGTTGCCATAATTTCTCCCTTTCTCTTTTTTATCTTTGGCAAAATTATTTAAAAGTAAGTTCCAAGCAACATCAATACTTTATCTTTAGCTATTTTAGTGTGTATCTCTTAAGTTCATTTTCCTGCATAATCTCAATACTATTATCACACTTGATATATATTAATATGTTTTCCCAATTACTTTAAGAATGTTTTTTAAAGCTCTCTTCTCACCCATATTCAGCCACAATCCAGGATCCAATCACAGTTTACATATTACCTTTTGTTATCTCTTCAGTCTTTATTAAATCTTGAACAACATCCCTACCAGGCTATTTATCTTTTACAATGTCTCATGTTCTGTATTTCTCCACTTATTTAGTCATATTGGTAAACTTTTTCCTCTATCTCATCTTTCTGTAAACTGGAAGTTAGGGCTAGAATCTCAATGAGATTAACATAAATATTAATATAAGATTATTAATATATCAGTATTAATCTCATCAGATACAATATATGACTTGCAAATATTGTCTCCAATTCTGTGGACTGTTTTTTCTCTCTCTCTTGATAATAGCCTTTAATACACAAAAGTTTTTTGTTTTGATGATGTCCAATGTATCTGTTTTTTCTTTTGTTGCCTGTGATTTTGATGTCATATCCAGAAATTAATCACCAAATCTACATCATGAAGCTTGCCCATGCTTTCTTCTTTTGGTTTTAGCTCTTATGTTTAGATTTTTTAAAATCTATTTTAAGTCTATTTTTGTGTGTGATATAAGTTTTCAACATCATTTTTTGCATGTGGCTATCCAGTTATCTCAGCACCATTTGTTAAAAAGACTTTTCTTCCCCATTGAATAATTTTGGCACCATTATCAAAAGTCACTCAATCATATGTTTGAGAATTTATTTCTGGGCTCTCTGTTCTATTCCATTGGTCTAGATGTCTGTCTTTATGCCAGTACCAAAATGTTTTGATTACTGTAGCATTCTAGTAATTTTGACACAAGGAAGTTTGAGTTCTGCAAAATACACTCAAGATTGTTTTTGCTATTTAAGGTCCTTTGAGATTCCATATGAATTTTAGGATTTTTGTTCTGTTTCTGGAAAAATATTATAATGAAATTTTGTTAGGGATTGAATTGAATATATAGAATGTTTTGGGTAGTATTGTCATCTTAATAATATTAAGTTTTCCAATCCATGAACATGGGATGTCTTTCTATTATTTACATCTTCTTTAATTTCTTTTAGCAAAATATTGTAGTTTTCAATGGACAAGTCTTTCACTTCATTGGTTAAATTTATTTCTAAGTATTTTATTCATTTTGACATTATTATAAATGGAATTTTTAACTTTCTTTTCAGATTGTTCATTTTTAGTGTATGAAAATGTAACAGATCATTGTATGTTGACTTTGTATCCTATAACTTGTGCTGAATTCATTTATAATATTATTTATGATAGTGTTTTTGTGGGATCTATAGGATTTTCTACAATAAGATTATGTCACCTGAAACAGAGATAATTTTACTTCTCCCTTCCCAATTGATATGTCTTTTATTTCTTTTTCGAACCTAAATCCTCTGGCTAGAACTTTTAGTACTATATTGAATAGGAGTTGCCAAAGTAGACACCCTTGTCTTGTGTTTTCCATTGAGGATAATATCAGTTATGGGTTATGACTTACTTTTTAAAGCATAAATAATAGCATATATTGGGTATTATAACATGGAAGTGAAATGTATGACAACAATAGCACAAGGTTGAGTGAGGAAAATGGACATATATTGTAAGGTTCTTACATTATACATGAATAGGTATAGTGTCATTTAAAGGTAGACTATTGTATGGTAAAGATACCTATTGTAAGCTCTAGAGTAACCACTAAAAAATACTGCAATTTAGTTAATAAGACAATACATGGAGTAGAGATAAAATTGTAAAAAAGTTCAATCCAAAGGGGGAAAAAGGCACAAAGAGCAGGTGGGATAAAGACAAATAACAAGATGGTAGACTTAAACATAACCATATGCATAATTGCATATTAATGGCCTACAGACTCCAGATAAAAGACAGAAATTGTCAAACTGAATAGTAAAGCAAGACCCAACTATAAGTTTTCCATAAGAAAAACACATTGATATAAAGACACAAGTAAGTTAAGAGCATGGGAAAAGATATACATGCAGACAATAATCATAAAACTGGAATGACTGTATTAATATAGCACGAAGTTAACTGCAGGGCAAGTATTAACAGATGATGATTCAAAAGATAAATACATCAAGAAGACCTTTCAGTTTTAAATGTTTATATGCCTAGTAACAGCTTCTAAGAATGTGAAACAAAAACTGACAAAACTGGAAGGAGAAGTAGACAGATTCACAATTATATTTGGAGATTTTATCACTCCTCTCTTAGTAACTGATAGAATACACAGCAGGAAAATCAGTAAAGATATAGAAGAGTTGAGCAACAGTAACCAATTTGACCTAATTGACATTTATACTTATCCTATGACACATAGCCACAGCAGAAGACACAGTGTTTTCAAGTATACATAAAACAGTCACCCAAGAGAGACCATATACAGGACCACAAAGTAGGTCTCAAATTTAGAATTGACATCATACATAATATATTCTTGGATCAGAATGGAATTAAATTAGAAATGTATGACAAAATATATCTTGACTATTTGGAAATCAACAAGTCATTCCTAAACCTATGGATCTAAGAAGAAATCACAAGATAAATTAGAAAGTATTTTTAACTGAGTGATAATGAAAACATCTAACTTTGTGGGATGCAGCTTAATTAATTCTTAGAAGGAATTTTATAGCTTTAAATGTTTGTAATAGAAAAGAGAAAAGGTTTACTTCAATTATCTTAAACTTTCTCTTTAAAAGATTAGGAAAAGAACAAATGAGACCTAAATTAAGTCAAAAGAAGAAAATGACATAATTCATTAAATTAACAAAATATTTTTAAAAGCATATGATCATCTCAATAGAGAAAAAGGCTTCCACAAAGTGTAACTCCTTACACATTAAAAACAATACAAAAAAACCCAAAAAACAAAAAAACAAACTTCTCAGCAAGGTAGAATTAGGAAGGAATTTCCTTCATGAAGGTCATCCTTGAGAAATCTGCAGCTAACATCACACTTAATAGTGAAAAACTGAACACTTTCTCACTGAGATCAGGAAAAAAACAAGGATGTTCATTCTGACTACTTCTATTCAACACTGTACTATTGATAATGCTCAGTGTAATAAGGCAAAAAAAATCAATTAAAATATTATATTTATATGTAAAAAGCATGTAAATTGGGGAAGAAGATGTAAAACTATCTTTATTCACAGACAACATAATCATGAATGAGTATATATAGAAAAGTCTAGGGAACTACAAAAAAGCTACTGGAATTAAAGTGAATTTAACAATGTTTCAGGATATAAGGTATACACAGGCGAGTTGTAGTTCTATATACTAGACATAAACAATTAAACAATGAAATTTAAGGCTGGGCGTGGCAGCTCATACCTGTAATTCCAGCACTTTGGGAGACCGAGACGGGTGGATCACAAGGTCAGGAGTTCGAGACCAGCCTGGCCAAGATGGCAAAACCCAGTCTCTACTTAAAAAAAATACAAAAATTAGCCAGGTGCAGTGGCGGGTGCCTGTAATCCCAGCTACTCCGGAGGCTGAGTCAGGAGAATCACTTGAACTGGGAGGCAGAGGTTGCAGTGAGCTGAGATCGTACCACTGCACTTTAGCCTGGACGACAGAGCAAGACTCCATCTCAAAAAAAAAAAAAGAAAGAAAAGAAAGAAATGTAATAAATTTATAATAACATAAAAAATAGTAAATATTTAGGGGTATATTTAATGAAATATATGAAGAATCTATAAAATGAAAATCTCATAGCATTCCTTCAAGAAATTAAAGAGGACCAGACTAAATGGTGAGATGTACCATTTTTCTGGTTTGGAAGACTCAAGATTGTGTTATGATGTCAGTTCTACCCAAATTAGCCTATGGATTAAATGCAATTCTAATAGAAATACCTAGAAGTTATTTTTGCTGAGTAGAACTAGCTGGCCGGGTGTGGTGGCTCATGCCTGTAATCCTAATACTTTGGGAGGCCGAGGCGGGTGGATCACTTGAGGTCAAGAGTTCGAGACCAGCTTGTTCAACACAGGGAAACCCTGCCTCTACTAAAAATACAAAAAATTAGCTGGATGTGGTGGCGGGCATCTGTAATCCCTGCTACTCCGGAGGCTGAGGCAGGAGAATCCAGGAGGCAGAGGTTGCAGTGAGCAGAGTAGGTGCCACTGCACTCCGGTCTGGGTGACAAGAGCGAAACTCAGTCTCAAAAAAAAAAAAAAAAGAAAGGGGCCGGGCGCGGTGGCTCAAGCCTGTAATCCCAGCACTTTGGGAGGCCGAGACAGGCGGATCACGAGGTCAGGAGATCGAGACCATCCTGGCTAACACAATGAAACCCCG